ATGAGAGCCCCATCTTGTAAAGCAGCCGCCCTCCATCCATGTAGAGGAGGGTCAGGGCGAAAGCAAGGACCAGGTTGAGGAAGGCGTGGAGGACACGGAATGAGCTGTCAGGATGGTGGAGGAGGTGGCGGTGGTGGGGGCCTCCTCTGCAGGTGGCGCTGTCTTCTTTGAAGGCCGGCGTGGGTTTCACTCTGTCGTGCTGCTCTTCTGGGGCCGCGACCTGTTCAACGCTCTCCCTGCGCAGTTTTAGAACGGTGGTAGTCGCTGCCATGGCGTCTCAGGCCAGAGCCCTATGCTGAAAAGGAACCGCCCTGCATGAAATTGCAATCAACCCGTGCAACAAAGACTCGTGATACGGATGCAGGGGGCCTTGGAAGGCCCCTTCCGAGCTTTTCGAGCGGGGCGCGGCCATCGAAAGTGGTGGCCAAGGATGGGCCGAAAGGGCAAGGATGCATGGGTACCAATCGGTCGGAAGAAGCAGGTAGGAACATGAGGCATGAAGGCGTTGACAACAATAGATTGGGTGTCCGCCCGCCCGATAGGGAGGACGGAAAAGGTGAAACCACTCGATCGTTGAAGTAGGAAGGCGCCGAAAGCAGACTGGAATCTGGGCATCCCAACATACCTACCTTCAACGACCGATGGGCACCGTCGGGAACGATGCCCATCCTTGACGTGCGGGTGGACAGCACCCGTGGGACATTTTTTTCCAGGCGAGCACGCGCTTCGCGGGAGCGGGTGCCCTCAGGTAGAGGTCGGCTCGCCCCCCGTCCGCGCAGCTGGCTTATGATTTGAAGACAATCGCCCCGCGGCACCAAAACGAGGACCCTGTTGTGAACACCGCCCGCCCTGCGTCCGGGTGGAGGCTGGAGATCATGTACCCTTCCTGCAGCCGTCCCGCATCACAAGGACGCACGATGAGGATGCGAGGGCCCTGGACGCCCACCTCGAAGTTGTTCGCGCGGAGGCCAGCGAAAGCGGCGAAGGATGGATCGCGGAGGCAGGGATGCAAGGGTACCCTCGGGAAGGTCGCCCATCCTGACTATGCGAGTTGACTCTGCCCCTCGTAAGCTGCGAACACATCCTCAGCAGAGCGCCCAGTCCGACCGAACGGCGCGCCGAGTGGCGCGGCAGGGAAGGGCCATGTGTGCGGAAGGGGGGATGGGGGAGGGAGGGCGGGGACGGATGAGGCGGCTAAGGGGGGAAGGGTGAGATCCTGGCCGAAAGAGGCCCGCGAACGGCGGAACAACATGCTGCAGTGCACAATCCAGGCGACGCGCAAGCGCGAAAGGCCTGCGTATCGCTCGCCCACGAGGCGCAGCTGCCGAGTGTCTCTCGTCGTGCCTGTGTCCTGCGCATCCTGTCCCCGTTCTCCGTGCCACACGTGCGCGCGACGGGCAAGGAAGGACGGCGGGAGAAAGGAGAATGGAACATACAGATGACGAGGAAGGAAGGAGGGAGTGTCGCCCGCAGCTCTGCATCGAGCTGCCACGGTGACTGGGAGGCGGGGGTGGAGGGGAAGGAGGAGGACAGTGTGGAAGGAGGAGGAGGTGCCATGGAGCCGTGGAGAACAGAGATGCGAACCCACGCGAGAGGACTGCCTCAGCCTCACAAAGGGTACGGATTGCCCCATCACAAGACGGGCGGAGGAGGAGGAGGAGGAGGAGGAGGAGGAGACGGAGGAAAAGGGCGAGATGGTGGAGGTGAGGGGGGACGCCGCTGTCTCCGCTGGCCTCCCGACCTGATGCGGGTTGGGGAGAGGGGGGCGGGGGGGGGGGGGCGCGGCGAGGCGCGTGCTCGGCGGTGTCTCCTTGCCCTCTTCGCCGCCCGAACTCGTCCACCTCGACCTTCGGGCTCCTCGAGCGGCTTCCCCGGGCTCTCCTCTCGTCGGGCTTTCTCGGGCTTCCCGAGCCGCCTTCGCCGCCGACCTCCTCCTCGGCCTTCCTGGGCTGGGCGGGGGGGGGGGGGAGGAGGTCGGAGAAGGGTGTGGCATAAAAGCGTGTGGTGCCAATCGTGGACATGGCGATGTTATCTACAAGAACTTGTGGAATCCGGAACCCAGGTAGCAGGGGCCACACGGGCGTGGAAAGGCATGTCGAAGAACGCTGGAAGGAGGACCTGGAGAGAGCTTCCGAAGGACCTTCTGGAGAGCTTCCGGACACGCGTCTTGGGAAACGCTCAGAAAAGGTCTCACGGGACCGGCTGCGACTTCAAGCAGGTCCCGCCGAGGTGTCCTGCCGGAAGCCAGAACGAGCTCTGGGGCTACCCTGCGGCTCTGGCATCTTAATCTGAAGCCCTCTTAGCTCTCAGATGGCCATCCGGGAAATAAAATCGCCCGACTCAGCATCGGCACCACGCCCCTTCACACCACACCCCTTTTCCTACCTCCAGGGCGAACGGGGAGGGTGCGCGGCTGCGGGGCACGATGCGAGCTGGTCTCCCGGAGGTCTCTGAATTCAGCATTGTTGGCCGTGCTGTTGTTCTGTATGCTTATCTACTTCGCTGCTACCAGCTGATCGCATGCGCGTCATTTATGGATGGACTGCTGGGTATCTGGGAAACCGCCATGATGAATCAACTATATTCGCCCGTCCAACTTTGGGTCGGAGGAATGGCGTAAACCCTTTGACTATCTAGAACGAGTGGTTCGCTATCTCATCCTCCTCATGCTCATCGTCCACGTCCCCATTTTCCTGCTCTTTCTATCGAAGTGCGTATCCGCCTCCTTGTCGCCTGTTCCTTCCACCCCATCCTTTCCATATACCTTCTCCTTCTCTGTTTCCTCCTGTTCCTCCTGCCTCCTCTCCTCCTCAGGATCCTGATCCCCATCCACCTCCTACTGCTGCTGCTGCTGCTCATCCTCCTACTCTTTTTGCTCCTCCTTCCTTTCCTCGTCTCCTTCTTCTCGTCCCCCTCCCTCCCCGTCCTCCTTGTCCTGCACCCGCCTCGCCATTGTCTCGCTCCTCCTAGTGCTCCCCCCATCCTTGCCCACCGTCTCCTCCTCTCCCCCTGCAGCAGTGGAGCTGGACGAGTGCCAAAGGAGAGGATGAGCAGGAGGAAAGGACACTTGCGTACCACCCGCCCTTCCCAGACCCCTGGCGTGGCGTGAACTCTTTCCGTCGCGGCGCGGCAGGGGCGATCCGCCCACGCGCGGAGCAGAACTGGGCTACGGCATGGCGATCTGCCCCGCCCAGCGGAGACACTCAGCCCGAGAGTTCCGCCACAGACATCCGGTCTTACTCCCCATTCTCGGGCCGTCGTCTTCCCCCTCCCCCCACCCCCTGCGTTTCCCCCTCCCCCCCCTGTCCTCCTCCTCCTCCTCCACGGCCTGCCCTCCCCTCCCCCGCGTCTGCCCCTCCCCTCCCTGCCTCCGCTTCCCCCCCCCCCCCGCCATCGTCTCCCCCTCCGCGGCCGCCCCGGTCCGCGCCGTGCACACGCGTCAGGACGTCGCGTCCTCCCCGTCCTGCCCTGCCCCTCCCCTCCGTCCGCTCCCTCCCCTCCTCCTTCCCCCCTCCCCCCTCCGCTCGCCCCCGCCCCCCCCTGCTGCTGCCGCTGCCGCTGCCGTTCTGGGGCGAGCCGCGGGAGCGAGGGCCCGGGGGCGTGAGCCGCTGCTGCTTCGGCCCCTCCTGCCCCCCCCTCCCACCCGCCCAGGGCGCGCCTCTCACCGCGGGTCGCCCTCTGACGGCCCCGGGCCGGGAACGAACAAAAGCAGGCCCCCGGAAGCCGACGTCGAGGAACAACTCCCGCCGTCGTATATCTCTCCTCCGAGACGCCTGAGAAGCCCGGGGCCGCCCCCCTCCCCAAGGGCCGCGCCCCCCGAAGAGCCCGCCCTGGGGCCCGTGCCGGCCCGGGAGCTCCGACGTGGAGCCTGGCCAGGAGCCCCAGCAGGCGCGAACTTGCCGTCGCTCGGACGTCCATTTCCCGTGCATTTTTCGGTTTCGTGCGTGTTTTTTTGGGCTCGATGGTCCAGGATGGTCCTCGCTGGTTCTCGCTGGAAAAAAATGCACATGTCCGAGCGATGCCAAGCGAGAGGCATCGAGATCCTCCATCCCCCGCCCTTCGTCGCCGCCCTCGTGGCCGCCGCCGCATCCGCCGCCGCTGCCGTCGTCATCGCCGTCGTCGCCGTCGCCGTCGGCGTCGGCGTCGGCGTCGTCGTCGTCGCCGCCGCCGTCGTCGCCATCCCCCTGCGCGTCGGCCCTCCTGCCGCCATGCGGCCCGTCGCCCTGCGCGTCGCCCCTGTCGGCCGAGCCCGCGTCGTCCCGCTGGGCGGGCGCCTGGGAGGTCGGCTCGGCTCCCCCAGCCGGAGGGAAGGACTGCACTGACCATGACCAGGGCTACTCTGGGTGGGATATTCATCGAGGGGGTGGGCGACCAACCTTCCGACGGAGCTTGCCCATCCACCCCCCTCCTCCCTCTCCTCCACCTCCTCCACCTCCTCCTCCTCCTCCCCTTCCCCTTCTCCTCCTCCTCCTCCTCCTTCTCCTCCTCCTCCTCCTCCTCCTCCTCCTCCTCCTCCTCCTCCTCCTCCTCCTCCTCCAGCCCCACCTCCACGCGTTCCGACATCACGTGCCCTCTCCCCCAGCGGATCCAAGGGGGGTGCGATTGTTGCCCCATCCAGAGTGCGGTTGGGAACTTTTGCTTAGCTTGTCGCGGCGGTGGCCCCGTCGACACGCTGTGCCTCTAACAACGGATGGCGTGTCGCTCCGCTCCGCGGGGCGGGAGGCTCGAAACGGCTCGGGACGTTGACGCCTAGGGACTGGGATGTGGATAGCGTGTCGCGCCGAAGCGCGGTGGGCCAGAACCGGCGGCGCGACACTCTAAGTCAAAGATCCCGACCGTGGCCTCGGAAACGTCGGCGTCGACCTTGGTCATCGTGCAACTGGGTCATCGTCAGTTCGTGGGTCACCCTCGCGAATCAGCGACGGCCAGAATGGACCATGGAAAAGGCTGGCTGGCATCGACAACATATCGCGACGTCTTGGTCACGGTCATCGTTCTCTCTTCCCTTGATCATCGCCGTCGTCGTCAGGCCATGGGGCCAAGCGGAGACAGGTTCGGGCGAGTGGTAACGGGGGGTGACCTAAATGGGGGGGTGAGGAAAAGAGCCCTAAGAGGGGCCCTTCTGGGCCCCTTTTGGGACCAGCAGGGGCAGAAAGGGACCAGTCTCCTCCTCCTCCTCCTCCTCCTCCTCCTCCTCCTTCTCCTTCTCCTCCCGTTCTCCCTGGTCACTCCTCAGTCTCCTCGCCCCTCCTCCTCCCCCTCACCCGCGGGCACTGGCCGACCCGCGCCTCTCGGTGGAGGTGCGCGGGCGCTGCTCGCGGAAGCACTGCCTGGGAGGCGCGGCCCCCACCCCCGTGGGTGGGTGCCCTGGCTTCGCCGAGGGGAGACGCGCGAGCTTCTGCGCGACACCAAGGGTCACAAGCCGTATGTGGCGGATCTCACTTCCTCCCCCAAGAGGGTCCCTAGAGGTGCCCAAGAGGTGCCCAAGAGGCGCCCAGGAGGCCCCCATGAGGGCCCCAAGAGGCCCCAAACAGGCCCCCGAGAGGCCCAAAAGAGGCTTTCAAAAGGTCCACTAAAGCCCTCGAGACTGCCTCCAAGGGGCCCCCGGGGAGGCCTCCTACGAGATTCCAACGAACATCCACTGGGCTTATGACCCACAATCCAGGCACGGTGGCAAGACTTGCCGTAAGCAGCTGGATCCGCCGCCCCCTGTGGATTCATCACAAGGGTGCCTGGCGTGCTGAACTTCTTACGATGTTGGTGTTGGTTCTTTTCCCGAAGAACTCTCCCAGTGGGCTCCAGCGCGTCCCGCCGGGGGGTCCCGGTAGGATGCCGAAAGATCTTCCAGAGGTGGTTGCAAAGGGTTTTTCCGTTCCAGACGGCTCCAAGATGGCCTAAGATGGCCTCCAAGACGGCCAAGATGGCCTCCAAGACGGCTAAGATGGCCCCAAGATGCCTCCAAGACGGCCCAAAATGTACCCAAGACGGCCTCAGATAGCCCAACAGGCCCGCAAGAGGCCTCCAAGACGGCCCAAGAGCCCTCCAAGACGTCCTCCAGGAAGGCCCGAAAGGGCCAACATCATTGATCTTCCTTTGGATTTTGAAGGATTTTGGCATTTGCGCCTTTTCGGCTTTCCGACGGCCCAAGACGGCCCAAGAGCCCCCAGGATCGCCCAAGAGGCCCCCCAAAGGGCCCCGTGACGGCCCAAGTGGCCTCCAAGACGGCCCCAAGACGGCCCAAGAGGCCTCCAACACGCCTAAGATGGCCTCCAAGACGCCCAAGATGGCCTCCAAGACGCCCCGAAGCGCCCCAAGAGGGCCCCACGTCGGCCCAGAAAGAACCTCAAGACGGCTCCCGACGGCGTCAGACGTGCCAGGAACCCACCAAGATGGCCGAAGTTGGCTCGAAGCTGGCCCAAGACGGCCCAAGAGGCCCCCAAGAGGGCCTCCAGGAAGGCCAGAAGAGGCCCAAAACATTGATTTGCCTTAGGTTGTTTACGGATTTTGGAATGTGCTTCTTTTCGGCCTTCGAGACGGCCCAAGAGCCCCCGACGATCGCCGAAAGATCGCCCAAGAGGCCTCCAAGATGGCCCCGGAACAGCCCAAGAGGGCCCCAAGACGGCCCCAAGAGGCTCCCAAGACGGCCCAGGAGGCCTTTCAGGCGCCCAAGATGGCCTCCAAAACGGCCCTGGAACATTCCAAGAGGGCCCCAAGTCGGCCCATAGAAGCCCTCCAAACGGCTTCCGACGGCGTCAGACGGACCAGGAGCCCACCAAGACGGCCGAACATGGCCCTAAGATGGCCCAAGACGGCCCAAGATGCCTCCAAGAGGGCCTCCAGGCAGGCCCCCAAAGGCCAAAATAACTGATGTCCCATGGGTTTTTGAAGGACTGTGGTATTTGCTTTTTTTCTGCCTTCCGACGGCCCGAGACGGCCCAAGTGCCCCCAAAGATCGCCCAATAGGCCCAAGACACGGCCCCCAGAGGCCCCCAAGACGGCCCAAGAGGTCTCCAAGACGCTCAAGATGGCCTCCAGGATGGCCCAAGAGCCCTCCAAGACGTCCTCCAAGAAGGCCCGAAAGGGTCAAAATGGCCTCCAAACGGCCAAGGTGACCTTCAAGATGCCCACGTGTTCCCCGAAGGCTTTCCAAACCGATTCGGGGAACACATGGTCCGATAGCTTGGCAGGTCTAGCCTCAACGTTTGGCCACATAGGCGCTTCCAGAAAGGCAGGGGGCGGCGGTGATTCGCCGTAGGCGTCTTCGATATGGTGGATTTCACTGCTGCTGATGGCAGATCTGTTAGAACCTATGGGAGGTGCGGCTGTTTCACTACTGATGGTCGCGTGGTGGGACTGAAGGTCCCCTGCCCGCCTGTTGGATGGAATCCTGTGGGGCTCGAGCTGCACGGAATCGCGCGTGCTCGCTCCAACATCACTCTTACAAGCTCGGACCTGCGAAGGTCCTGCAGCAGGCTGCTGCCTTTGACCTGTGCCGCGCGCAAGCTGGAACAGACTGGCGTGGACAGCGTGGACTCCGCCCCTCGCTTCTGGGGTTCGGGGGCCATCCTGTCTTTGCATGCTGGTCTGTATTGTACTTGCTTTCCTGAGGTGTCCAACCCCATCCAATCCAATCATCCTCCTCATCCACCCGATGTTTCTCCTCTCTTCACCTTCTCCTCTCCCCCACTTGCTTTGCCATCCTCCTCATCCCTCCCCTCCTGCTCTCACTCCCCTCCCCCTCCCCTCACTCCCTCCTACGTCTCGTCCTCCTCCTCGTCCTGTTCTCCTCTCCCGCTCCTCCTCCCCCAACCCCCTCCCCCTCTTCCCTCCTCCATCTCCTCCCCCGTGCTCTTCCTCCCCCCCACTGCCTCCTCCTCCTCCTCCTCCGCCTCCTCGCCCTCCTCTTCCCTGATCTGCAGCTGCTGCTGCTGCTGCTGCTGCTGCTGCTGCTCCCCACGTACTCTTCGTCGTCATCGTCGTCGTCGAGGTCGTAGTCGCGGTCGTGATCGTGGTCGTGGTCGTCGTCGTCGTCGTTGTCGTCTTCCTCCTCCTCCTCCTCCTTCTCCATCTCGTCTTCCGCTCACTCTTCTCACTCTACAGACTCCTTCTCCAGATCCTGCTCTCCTGGCTGCTGCTCTTCCCCTCCCCATTCCGTCCTCCTGATCCTTGTTCTGCTGCCCTGCCTCGTGCTACAGACTGCCGCTCCTCCCCTCCTCGTTCTCTTTCTTGTGTCCCTGCTCCTCCTTCACCATCTATCCCTTTCCTCCGTCGGAGCCTCTTCCACTCGGGGAAAGAAGTCCCGTGGCAGGCAACGTGCCACTCGTCGAGCTGCACGGCGGAGCGCCGATGCGCGCAGGCTCTGCACTATGGCGACGTACACAAACTTTTGGATACCTTCGAATCTTGGCCACGAGAACGTGGGTCAAGAGCACACGTCCTTTGCCGACGGCACAAGGCCCCAGGGAGATACATCCCAAACGAATGCACATCGGTCGTTGGAAGTAATTGCTTTTGAATTCCCAGGTTCCAATCTACTTTAAACGCCTGCCTACTGCAATGATCGAGTGGCTTCACCTTTTCCGTCCTCCTTCGGGGGTGGACGGAACCCCTATGTTCAACGCCTTCCTACTCCATGTTTCTACCGTCTTCTTCCGACCGAAGGGTACCATCCCAGAGTAGAATTGCGGAAGCAGGAACGACACACGGGTGCCTATCCCAGAGCCAGGGCTTCTCGCAGCCCTCCCCATGCCAGCGGCAGGGGTGATGGGCTGCCAGGGCGCGCAGAATCTCCGAGACGTAGAGGCTTTCCATCTATGTTTAGATATATGTATACATGCACACTTATGTATATACATGTGTGGGCGATTTCGGACACCCTGAACCCAAAAACGTTGCCATCTCTTGTGGGGCACACGTTATACTTCCGCCAGCCTTCCGCCGGCGGAGGCGGCCCCATTTTACTTCCGCCGCCGTCCGCACACCTTCCGCGGCCTTCCGCCGCGGAAGGGATGCCAACTCATTCGATCCTCGAAGGCAAGGCCTTTCTTGGACCCCCCTTTATACACATGTATGCATATGTGTATATATATGGATACCTATAAATCTAAATATGTACGTATGTGTAATTGAACACTAACGCTTAATTGCTGCGTTCGTGGGCATAGTTGGCAAATGTTGAACCGTGGGACATACTGCGGTCGCCACAACAACCTGAACGAACATGGTTGAAGGATTCGCACCACAATTCTACAACACTGCGTGCAACGTGCGATCTAGCCTGAACACCTTCCTGACCAACATTGCATCGGGAACAGAAAATACCGCCTTCAACTCCTCCTCTTCGTCCGGGTCGACTGTCGGCTCCAGGTCCTGCCGTAAGAGTTCTCAATTAGTCATCAGGTGGACTGCAGAGGCGGCCCAAGGAACGAGAGACGGGATGTGCAGAATCTCTGATACATGAGCTCTGCTTGTTGTGTTGCGCGGCCCAAGCCGTTGCAACAGTAACGCTGTGTTATGCCCCAACGTCCTTTGTGCAACTGCTGGTGTTATCATCCTCCTCCCCCGATCCGCCACCGTGCCTGCGGAACGTTGAGGCGTGGAAGAATGCCAGGGGCTGCCTGGCAAGGCTTCTGTAGTCTTCTAAGGCCCTCCCCCAACCCGCTCTGGGGGGTCCCTGGGCGGCCATGGCGCCTCTCTGAGGCTCACTAAGGCCTCCATGACGGCCCAGGAGGCCCCCATGATGGTCCAAGAAGGCCCCGAGTCGCCGAGCGATCGCTCGAAGACGCGCGAGATGGTCTCAAGATGGCCAAAGAGGCCTCCAGGGCGACCCAAGATGCCTCCAAGAGGCTTCCCAAGAGTGCCCCAAGGGCAAACAGCATTGACCTGGCTTCCCGACGCCAAGACGACCCAAGAGGCGCCCCAAACCACCCCCAAACGGCCCAAGAGGCCACCAAGAAGGCCCCAAGAAGGCCCTAAGAAGGCCTAAGAGCACCCCAAGACTGCCGACGCCAAGAGGTGGCCAAGACGGCCCAAGAGGACCCCCAGGCGGCCCCGCAAGGGGCCCAATAGAGGGAGCACGAACCGAAAATCCGAGCCTTCCGCCCCAAGAGGCCCCCAGGAGGCCCCAGGATGCGCCTAAGAGGCCTTCAAGAGGCCCCCAAGAGGCCGCCAAGAAGCCCCAAGAGGGCCCACAACAGGCCTCAAAACTGCCTCCAAGAGGCCCACCGAGAGGCCTCCCACAAGATCACAATGAACAACCGAACGCTCAATACCCACAACCCGGGCACGGTGGCGGGACTTGCCGTAGGCAGCTGGGACATCGCACCCCGACCTTCCAATCGCATCTCGATTGCTGACATGTACGCGTGCTCCAGCGGATCGCTTGAGCATGGCCATCGCACGAGTTCCATGACAAGCCAACGCTCGTCTTTTCCCACTCTTTTAGAGGCCTCCTAGATGGGGTCGGAGTAGATGGGGTCGGAGGATCGCGCCGCATCGGCGATGCATCGGCGATGCATCGGCGATGTTTCGGCGATGCATCAGCAACGTCGGCGATGCATCGGCGACGTCCGCGTGAAAGAACTCGGGCTCCGCATCAAGCCTAATCGGCGATGCATCGGCGATGCGGCGCGATCCTCCGACCCCATCTGCTCGGACCCAATCTGGGAGGCCCAGATCCTTTCCGCCCGTCGCTGCCTTTCCATACATCCTCGGGGCGAGCTCCGACGCTGGACCTGCGATGGTGGGCGATCGACGGCCCAAGGGCCAAAGGACACCCACAGAGAATGGAGGAGGCGGGGGAGGAGGAGGGGGAGGAGGATGAATAACGCAACTTGTGCTCACATAATGAAACAAAGAGGAGGAGGAGGAGGAGGAGGAGGAGGAGGAGGAGGAGGAGGAGGAGGAGGAGGAGGAGGAGGAGGAGGAGGATGGAGGAGGAGGATGGAGGAGGAGGAGGAGGAGGAGGGAGGGAGGAGGAGGAGGAGGAGGAGGAGGAGGAGGAGGAGGAGGAGGAGGAGAGGAGGAGGAGGAGGAGGAGGAGGAGGAGGAGGAGGAGGAGGGGAGGAGGAGGAGGAGGAAGGAGCGGGAGGAGGAGGAGGAGGGAGGAGGAGGGAGGAGTTAGCATGCGCAGTTCGTATGCTTTGTCTTCGTCGATCCTCCCCCTCCCCTCCCTCTCCCCCTCCCCCTCCCTCGCCCTGTCCTTCCCCCTCTCTCCCCCCCGTCTCCCCTTTGCCAACTCTAGCCCTCCTTGCCTTTTTTCTCACGGAATGCCCCCTCGTCCCCCCCTGCCCCCCTGTTACAAGAGGGAAGGGGAATGGGGAGGGGGAGGGGGTGGTGGGGAGGGAGGGGGGATGGGGGGGGGAGGGGGGGGGGAGGGGCGGTGAGGGAGGGTGAGGGGAGGAGGAGAAACAGGAAGAGGGAGGAGGGGGGAGAGGGAGCAGACGTAAGAGAGCCCAGACATGTCGCGCTGTGACTTCTTCCGACGCGTGGACCAACGAGGACTTTTGACACCTGGAATAAGCGAGTGAGCAGGAAGAAGAGGAGGAGGAGGAGGAGGAGGAAGAGGAGAAAGGAGGAGGAGGAGATGGAGGACGAGGAGAAGGAGGAGGATGGGGAGGAGGAGGAGGAGGAGGAGGAGGAGTAGGTGGAGGAAAGAGGAATAACGATGGCGATGATGCTGATGATGATGATGCTGCTGATGACGATGATGATGATGATGATGATGATGATGAGGAGGAGGAGGAGGAGGAGGAGGAGGAGAAGGATGAGGGGGAGGCGGAGGTGGAGGAGGAGGAGGAGAAGGATGAGGGGGAGGAGTAGGAGGATGAGGAGGAGGAGGAGGAATAATAACGCCACATGTGCTCATACGAACTCTGACTAATGCAAAAAAGGAGGAGGAAGACGAGGAGGAGGACGACGAGAAGGAGGAGTATGGAAGAGGATAAGGAGGAGGAGGAGGAGGAGGAGGAGGAGGAGGAGGAGGAGGAGGATGGAGGAGGAGGAGGAGGAGGAGCAGGAGCATGAGGAGGAGGGACGAGGAGTTAGCATGCGCAATTCGTATGCGTTGTCCTCGTCGATCTTTCCCCTCCCTCTCCCTCTCCGCCTCCCTCGCCCTGTCCCTCCCCCTCCCCACCCCCCCGTCTCCCCTTTGCCAACTCTAGCCCTCCTTGCCTTTTTTCGCACGGGATGCCCCCTCCTGGCGCTAACGCGAGAGCCACATTTTGAAAACCACCCGTCCTCAATCTGTAACACTCTTGCAAATGTTGGAGGCGAATGCGCGCGGCGCTAAGGCGAGAGCCACATTTTGAAAACGACCCGCCCTCAACCCGTGAAACTTTGGCAACTTTTGAAAACGGATGTGCGCGGCGCTAAGGCGAGAGGCACATTTTGAGAACAAGCCGCCCTCCATCTGTGTAATGGTTGTCATTTTTAACCTTCAGAATCATAAATGCTGAGGAAGTCTCAAGCGAAACGCCTGGCCCGCCAAAAAAAACGGACTCTGTGTGCAACAGGGAGAAGTTATCTATAAGGAGAAGGAACGGAGGAGGAGGAGGAAAAGGAGGGAGGCGGAGGAGCACTGCGAGGCGTCTGGGAAAGAGGCGGGGGGAAGGCGGAAGGCCGCGGCGGCCACGGCGACAATCGGGGACCTACGGACCCGGGACGATCCAGACCAAGGTCTATCAGGCCTTGCAGCAGGCTCCCGGAAGACTTTGCAGGATCCTGCAGGATCCTGTGCCCAGCCCAAGGTCAGTGCACCCCTGGCTCTGCAGGATCCCGGAAAATCCAGCCCTCGGACTAATCGCCCCCGTTTGCATTGACCCCCAAACTTTCTCGCCGTCGCTCGGACGTCCATTCCCTGTGCATGTTTCGGTTTCGCGCGCGCATCTTTTCGCAAGGTGAACAAAAATGCTCCTTGATGGTCTGCGCCGAAGAAAAAACACTTGAGCAGGGCCAAGCCATCCTGGCATTCCTATAGGCCTACCACGAACTATTCATAGAACCCACAAGTGCTCGAATAACAACACAATGTCCTTATAACATAACCCGATGTACGAAAACAATACAATCTCAGCCAAAAATGTTATGATAACGATTTGTGGACAGAACGCGTTTCACGGGCGCTTGCCTTGGGAACATTCGGCGGCGCGTTTCGAAACGCGGGGTGGGCCCCCCCCTAACATTCGGTGCCGTCGATTAAAACCAAGGGGACTCCCCTGGCGGCCGCCAACAGCGCCGACGGCGGGGACGCAGCGACGATGACCAGAGGCAGCCCAAGGGGGGGGGGTTCAACCCCCCCACCCCCTGGCGCCGGCGCCGGCGCTGGCGGCGGCCAGCAGCGCCGGCGCTGGCGCTGGCGACGGCGGGGGCGCGACGATTACCACAATTACCACCACAGCCACCACTACCACCACCACCGCCTCAACCCACCAGCACCACCACCAACCCACCACACAACCACCACCACCACCACAGCCACCCCCACCACAACCACCACCACAACTCACCATCACCACCACAAAAACCCACCATCACTACCACCACCGCCACAAACTACCACACCACCACCACCACCGCCACAACCCACGCCCACTACCAGCAGCACAACCCACCGACACCACAACAAACCACCACACCACCACCACCACCGCCACCACCACCACCACCACCAGCACCGCCTCCACAAAGCACCGCCACCAAAAAAAACCCACCACCACCACCACCACAAACCACCACCACCACAAACCACCACACCACCACAAACCACCACCACCACCACAACTCACCATCACCACCACCACCACCACAAAAACCTACTACCAATATCACCACTACCACAATCTATCACACCACCACCACCACCACCACTACCACCACCCACCACCACCACCAGCAGCACAACCACCACCAGCACCACAAACCATCACACCACCACCACCACCACCACCACCACCACAAACCACCACCACCTCCACAAACCACCGCCACCACAACAAACCACTGCCACCACCACGAACCACCACCACACCACCACCAAACCACCACCACCACCACCACCACCACCCACCCACCACCACCACCACCACCACACCACTTCCACCACCGGAAACCACCACCACACGTCCACCACAACCACTACACCCACCACCACAGCCCCCACCACCCCCACAACAAACCACCACAACACCACCACCACCGCCACCACCACCGCCACCACCACCACCGCAATCCACCACCACCACCACCACCACCACCACCACCACCACCACCACCACCACCACCACCACCACCACCACCACCACCGTCGTCCTCGTCGACGCTCTCCGCCGCCGCCGCCCGCCGCCGCAGGCGCGGGCGCCGGCCCAGAAAAGGCAATCGTCGTCCC